CCCCTTTACCCCCCCAAAAAAAAAAAAAAAAAAAAAAAAAAAAAAAGAAAAAAAAAAAAAGAAGAGATAAACCTAGACCTATTGATAGATTCCAGAAATACATCTTCAACTTACCCAGCAGCGCTGCCTTTCTGATTGTATAGTTGTTTTCACTCTCTCATCACCTTGTCCCCCGAGAATTTGGTGGAAGTTGTCAGTGTCGGGGAGGGAGTACCGAAGGCTTTAATTACTAGACATAGCGAGATATTTTTTAACGAGCGTCAGAAGTGCGTACTGCTTGAGTCAGCGCAGATGTCTCGCACCGAACATTTGATGTCTTCACCCCGCTGGTCCTCTCCTCCTGCGCCCTCCATCTTCAGCGTGCCTTGCTCTGCTCTTCAGAGCCCAGCTATGCCCCTGGAAGAAATCACAACGTTTGGTACAAGTCTCACAAGGTCCAGCTTGTTAAGGAGATTTTGGTTTGTTTTTTTTTTTTGTTTAAAATATTTACTCACTTTGCAAGACTGCGATATAACTTTTAAAGTACACTGTGACTGAGGTTTATGAAAGTTCGTATTTTCTGGCTGAACTGTATAGAGTCAGTCGAAATTTGTAAACAGGGTAGCAATCAGATATTTTTCTTCCATATATACAATAATTTTTTTAAAGAAGTGCAATTTGCGTTGCAGCAATCAGTGTTAAATCATTTGCATAAGATTTAACAACGGTTTTTATACGAATGAATGAATGTAAACATTTTAACTTAATGGTACGTAAATAATTTAAAAGAAAAACTTAACTAGGCATCCTTAGGCTTTTTAGCGCAACAAAATCCCATCCACTTTCTGTATTTCCAGTTGTTAAAGCAAGAGTTTCAAAGAACAAGCCTTCTCTCAGGAAAATTGCCCTAGCCGTTTGCTCGGAGTATTGTACAAAAATGCAAATGCATCCCCATTTTTTTTTTTTCAATTGAATAAGTATGTGCTGGAAAGAAACAAATCGCAATGAAACTTTACTACCTAACTGATACATATGTAAATACTCCATAAGATATTTAGGCATCTTGAAAATGTAGGATGCAATCTGTATAGTGTGACTGACGCATAGTTAGGTTGGTTTCCATTGGTTTTTAAGTGGGATGTCATTTGGAAAGTTGTTTCATCAGAGCTTTACAAATAAAAGGGTATCATTTTGGGATTTTTTTTTTCCTGTATACTGTGCCTTCTCCTTTGTCTCCAACGCAATTGTTAAGCTACATTAAAAGCTATGGAAATGTACCTGATATGGGCAGCGTGTCTGATGGCTGCAAGGAAGGTCTCCAGCTGAAGTGCCTGCTCTGTCTAGCTAAGTCTGCACTGCGGGTGGCTTTTCTGCAGCTCCCCTCACTACGCCTTCTGATGATATGTAAAACCAGGGCCCCGCTCCTACCAACACAAGCCCCTCATGAGTACGTGGGAGGTTTTTCAGACTTTCTGAAAGTTTGGGGAACTGACTCCATGCCTTGTGAGGACTGTCATGGTTTTGCTTGGCTTTCACACCATAGCTAAAGGGTCTCACCCAGGTCCCCTGTGTGTGCAAAGATCTGCCTGTCACCCACTGCAGATGTAACTGGGTAAAGCCAACTGGGTGGTAGAGCCATCGCGTGCCTGCTGGCATCCTCTGGTGGCCAAAGGTGAAGGGCAGCAAAAACTGAAGGCGCTGCTGCTGAAGACAGTGAATTTTAGCTACTGAGGGGAGAGGAAAACCTTTCATTGGCTCTGACGACCGGTCCTCTGCATTGCTCAGTTGATGGGAGGAAGACAACGCTGCATGTGATTTCCAGCTACGTCAGCAGTACTGTCGGACCAGGAAGCCGGGATGCCCAACCTCCATTCCCAGCGCTGCTGTCAACTCATGGAGTGCCTGCAACATGTCTCTTCACCGCTCTGAGCCAGACTTTCATTTGGGGTGAATTGGGATAGCTCCTTGGCCTCCACTGAAGCTATGCTGATTTGCATCAGCTGAGAATCTGCCCCTTGGTTTTCCAACCCAGAGAGTCAAGGCCGTCTCCTTACCCTGGGGGTGTCGTGAAGACCACGGGATGAATGCTACAGCACAGCCCTTGGAGGGGAATGGCTTCTAGAAAAAAGGGGTCAGGGCAAGCCTCACCTGGGGGTTGGGCTCCGGCCAGCCAGGAGTAGGGAATCCTCACCCTTCCCGGTGGGGCCATCACTCCAGCCTTGGTGCTGGGACACCTCATGTCCTTGCTCCCTGGGGGTTGACATGGCCAGGTACCCCAGCCCTGCTAGCCTTGGGGCCACATGGGCTTGGATCTCATATTTTACAAAAATAAATCCCTATCTAAGTGCAAAGTGAGCCATGCAGAGAAACATTGGGTTTAAAAAGCAAAATGTGTGGAGCAGTGGGTGAATATCTTCCCTTTCGAAGCATTTGTTGCCTAAAATGCCCTTTTCTGTGATTTTCCAGTGTTGACACTTAAATGGATAAAAAAGCTGTTGCTAACTGGTGTTGAAGAGTGTTCAGCCTTAGCTGGGGTCGGCATCCTTTTTTTTCCTTTTTTCTTGCCAGGGGTGAAGTTTGGTGTGCCACTCCTGAAAAGCCTAGGGCAAAACTCACTGCCGGGTATGCCAGAGCTGTGTTGCTCAGAGTTATCATAAAACAGGAGGTTTAGACCAGCGTGTCCCAGTTTTGGGCTGCTGACCCAGCAGAAAAAGTCAGCTGGCTGCTGACGCTCTTGCCAGCAGCCTGTGAAAGGCCACGCTGCTTTGAAACCCTGCGGCACAATGTAAGAGGGCTCCCAGGAGGCCCGGCTCCCTTCTCAGCACCACCTTAACCCAGGGTCTGGCTTAGGGTGGTTCATGCAGATAACAAGTCTTGCAGGGCGCATAAAAAGATGCCCTACGTGAAAAGACTCCTCTTGGATCTGAGGCTGAAAATGCTTTTTCAGGAGATACCAGGAAAAAAAAAAAGAAAAAAAAAAGAAAAAACAATCTTTCCTAGGGAAGGTGTTTCCCATTATTTCTTATCAGCAAAAACATCAAGAATGAAATACTTTGCCTCCTTGGACCAGAAGCAGAGCTAAATCAGGTTTTTGTCCCTCTGCAAGAGGCAGGGGGGGTGCAGTACCATGTTGCCTTACTCTATAGATGCCGAGGATCTCAAAGCTAGGTTCTGTGTTATGATTTTTACGTAGAAAAAGACTGTAAGAACAGTACCTGCCTACTCATCAAAACGGCTGTCCAAGTGCACCGATTGCTGGAGCGGCTACTGCTTGACAAAATAAAGGTTTCTCGTTTTATTTTTTTTTTAATTTTGCCTTTTAGTCCAGCTGAGCTGGCACGGCTCTGGGTGTGTGAGCTGGACTTTGCTCTGGCTCATACATCATCAATAGCACTGATGCTGATGGATGGCCTGGCCAGATGCTTTCCTCACTTATCCCTGTTTCTCTTCAGTGACAGCCCCTGGGATGGGCTGAGAAAGAACAAAGAAAGAGTTCCACCATGGGTCTCAGTTACTAGTGAGGCTGAACGAGCCAGACTGACCCCAGAGCAGCACTCTAGTACCGGAATGAAGCTTCAGAGTTGACATTTTGGGGAAAAAAAAAAGCATACAGTTACTTGTCACCTTAGCACCTTTTCTCTGGAAACAATGAAATAGCCAATGACTCGAGGCATCTGCTTCAGGCTCCCCCACCAAGCAATACTAGAAGGCTCACATTTGCTTGGGTGGCCCCTCAAGAGCAGACTGCTCCTGACCACGTGTTTTACCCTGGGCTCCAGTCTTCCCTAGGTCCCAGGTTTTGTCTTAGTAGTGTTCCCGTCACCCTCACCCATAATCATATTTTTTCTGTTCAAAGTGCTCGAAATAAGTTGAGATCCCTACCGCGGTCCAGAGTGGTATTTTTCAGCATGGCATTGAGGGTGTATACTGGTGTGGTATGAGTGCTGTGAAGGTATGTGAGGGTGCAACTGCTGCTGGGCTTGTGTTGATGACCTGGGTAAAGCGGAGAGAAACAGCCTTGGACAGGTTGCCCAAAGGGAGTAAGAGGTGCCTGGCTGTTTCCAGAACTGAAGGTGGGCTTCGTTACATGTGGATGATGAGAAGGCAAGGACCTGGGTGTGAAATGAGGAGCCAGAGTAGCTGATTTGTTTGGGTTTTCTCGCTGCAAAGTTAGACAGAGCCACGTGCCAGCCCTGTAACATTTGCCATATAGAACTTCGGTAATTTACTGTCTGTTCCTGCACAAAAATAATATCACTTCTGCTCCTTTCCAAGAGAAGGGATTTAGGAGTTACACCCTGTCTCTGTTACCACGAGCCTT